CTTGGACGCCTCTCGGGGCGTTTTGGAGGCCTCTAGGGCCGGCTTGGGCCTATTTCTGGCGTCTCGGAGCGATCATCGGGCGTCTCGGGGCCCCATGGGCCGTCCCTGTTCGCATCCTCATCCTCGGCTGTTGCTTTTTCCTTTCTCTCTCTCTCTCTCTCTCTTACTCTCTCGCTTTTTTTGTTTCTCTCTCTCTCTCTCTCTTTTCAAAACCTTCTGTGTTTCCCAATGTTTTCTTCGATATTCCAGATTTTCGCAGAGACTACCCAGGTGAACAACCATGTGTGTTCCAGAATTTCCCAGAGATTCCTGATCTTCCCAGAGACTACCCAAGTGCACAACCATGTGTGTTTCCATACTTTCCAGGTATTCCAGATCTTCCCACGAACTACCCAGGTGACAAACCATGTGCCTTCCAGATTTTCCAGATATTCCAGATTCTGGCAGAGACGACCCAATTGAAACACCATGTGGTTTGCAGATGTTCCAATTAGTCCCGATCTTCCCAGAGACTAACCAGGTGAAGAAACCTTGTGTCTTCCAAACACATGGTTCTCCCCCTGGGTAGTGTCTGGGCAGACCCGAAATATTTTTTTGGAAAATCTGCAAACACATGGTTTTTCACATTGGTAGTCCCTGGGAAGATTTGGAATATCTGGGGAGTCTGGTACACAGCGTTTTTCACTTGGGTAGTCTCTGGGGATATTGGAATATTTGGAAAATATGGAAAACACATGGTTCTTCACCTGGGTAGTTTTTTGGGACATTCTGGAACACACATGGTTTTTGATTTGAGTAGTCTCTGGAAATATCTGGGATATCTGGACAATCTGGACAACACATTTTGTTCAGCACCACCCTCTCCCCACCGACCCCTTCCTCTTGTGTTTGTTGTTTTCCTTTTTTTTTTTTCTCTCTCTCTCTCTCTGTTTCTCTCTCTCTCTCTCTTATCTTTGTCGCTCTCTCTCTCTCTCTCTCTTTATTTCTCTCTCCCGCTCTCTCTCTCTCTCTCTCTCTCCTCCCCTCCCTCTGTGGTGGGGGTTCCTGCTGTGAAGCTTTCCATTAGAAACCCGCAAAGGATTCCTGATGTAAGGCTTTCCACTGGAATCCCTTTGTTGCGTTTTCGAAAGCGTTTCTGGTGTGAGGCCTTCCAACACAATCCTTTTTTAGGGTTTCCCAAGGGTTCCGATGGTGAGGCATCCAAGTGGAATCTTTTTTGTTGTGCCTTCCAGAGGATTCCGACTGTGAGGCTTTCAATCAGAATCTCCCTCTGGCGCTTTCCAGAAGAATCTTGTAGAGGTGTTAGACTAGAATCCTTACGCGGTGCTCTCCAAAGGGTTCCGCTTGTGAGGCTTTCTAATCGAACTCTTTTGTGGTGTTTGCCAAAGATCTCCGAGGCTTTCCCATCGAACCTTTCCGTGGTATTTTCCAAAGGATACCGAATGTGAGGCTTTCCAGGAGAATCCTTTGGGTTGTTTATCAAAAGGAATCCTGTTGAGAGGCTTTACAATCGAGTCCCTCTGTGGTGCTTGCTGGCGGTTCCTTTCGATAGGCTTCCCAATGCAACTCCTTTATGGTGTTTTCCAAAAGGATCCTGTTGTGGGGTTTTCCCATATCGTCCCCCTGTGGTGCTTTCCAACAGTATTCCGATTGTGAGGCTTTCCACTCGAATCCCTCTGCGGTGCTCTCCAAAGGGTTCCGATTGTGAGGTTTTCCCATCGAATCCTTTTGTGGTGCTTTCCGAAGAAATCTTGCGGAGCTGCTTTCCAATGGAACTCCGTTGTGGTGCTTTTCAAGGGGGTTCCCGTTGTGAGGGTTTCTAATGGAATCCCTTTGTCGCGTTTTCCAGCGGATTCCGATCGTGAGGTTTTCCAATGGAAGCCCTTTGTTGAGTTTTCCAAAGGAGTCCTTTTATGACGCTGTCCAATTGGAGCCACGTGTAGCATTTTCCGCCGAAGGGTTCTTGTTTTCCGGCTTTCCAATCGAATCCTTGCGAGGTGCTGTCCAAAGGTCTTTGTTGTGAGGTTTCCCAGGGGAATCTTTTTGGTGTGCTTGTCACAGGAATCCTGTCGAGAGGCTCTACAATCGAATCCTTTTGTGGTGCTTTCTGACGCTTCCTGTTGAGAGGCTTTCCAATGCAATTCCTTTGTGGTGCTGTCCAAAGGAATCCTGTTGTGAGGCTTTCCCATCGAATCCCCCTGTGGCGCTTTCCAAGGGATTCCGATTGTGAGGCTTTCCGCTCGAATCCCTCTGCGTTGTTTTCCAAAGGGTTCCGCTCCCCAAAAGAGGGTGTCCAATCGAATCCCTCCGTGGCGCTCCCCAAACGAATCCTGTTGTGAGGCTTTCCAATGGAACGTCTTAGTGTTTTTCCCAACCATCCTGTGGTGTTGGGTCCTCGTTTTGAAGAAACGGTCCCCGCGTCCTTCCTTCTCCTTTTCCTTCTCCTCCTCCTCCTTTTCCTCGCCCTCCTCCCTCCTGCGTTCGCATGCCTCCCCACCACCCATTTCGGCACACCCCTCACACGTTTCGTGGCCCCATAAGCAGCTCCACCGAAGGCCCCAGTGGCTGCGTTCGCATGCCTCCCCACCACCCATTTCGGCACACCCCTCACACGTTTCGTGGCCCCATAGGGAGCTCCACCGAAGGCCCCAGTGGCTGCGTTCGCATGCCTCCCCACCACCCATTTCGGCACACCCCTCACACGTTTCGTGGCCCCATAGGGAGCTCCACCGAAGGCCCCAGTGGCTGCGTTCGCATGCCCCCCCACCCATTCGGCACACCCCTCACACGTTTCGTGGCCCCATAGGGAGCTCCACCGAAGGCCCCAGTGGCTGCGTTCGCATGCCTCCCCACCACCCATTTCGGCACACCCCTCACACGTTTCGTGGCCCCATAGGGAGCTCCACCGAAGGCCCCAACATTTCGGCACACCCCTCACACGTTTCGTGGCCCCATAGGGAGCTCCACCGAAGGCCCCAGTGGCGTTCGCATGCCTCCCCACCACCCATTTCGGCACACCCCTCACACGTTTCGTGGCCCCATAGGGAGCTCCACCGAAGGCCCCAGTGGCAGCGTTCGCATGCCTCCCCACCACCCATTTCGGCACACCCCTCACACGTTTCGTGGCCCCATAGGGAGCTCCACCGAAGGCCCCAGTGGCTGCGTTCGCATGCCTCCCACCACCCATTTCGGCACACCCCTCACACGCTTCGTGGCCCCATAGGGAGCTCCACCGAAGGCCCCAGTGGCTGCGTTCGCATGCCTCCCCACCACCCATTTCGGCACACCCCTCACACGTTTCGTGGCCCCATAGGGAGCTCCACCGAAGGCCCCAGTTTTCGCATGCATTTCGGCACACCCCTCACACGTTTCGTGGCCCATAGGGAGCTCCACCGAAGACCCCAGTGGCTGCGTTCGCATGCCTCCCACCACCCATTTCGGCACACCCCTCATACGTTCGTGGCCCCATAGGGGAGCTCCACCGAAGGCCCCAGTGGCCCCCCACCACTCATTTCGGCACACCCCTCACACGTTTCGTGGCCCCATAGGGAGCTCCACCGAAGGCCCCAGTGGCTGCGTTCGCATGCCTCCCCACCACCCATTTCGGCACACCCCTCACACGTTTCGTGGCCCCATAGGGAGCTCCACCGAAGGCCCCAGTGGCAGGGTCCGCATGCCTCCCCACCACCCATTTCGGCACACCCTTCACACGTTTCGTGGCCCCATAGGGAGCTCCACCGAAGGCCCCAGTGGCGCGGTGCCTATGAGAAGAGGGGCCTAGTTTGCGTGCCCCCTCCTTCGTCTCATATCCGTGCGGTGCTCGCAGCTGCATATGGTTGGGTCCTTCGCCAGGCTAATTTGTAGGGTTCCGGTTGTGAGGCTTCCAAATGGAATCTCTTTGTGGCGCTTTCCAAAGGATTCCGATTGTTCCCTACCTTGGCTCTGCCTACAAGGGTTCTTATTCTCTGGGCCAGTATCCGCCCCGCGGTTCCCCCAGCTACGTCCCCTTAGCTTAGCGTTGCTTATCTCATCTTAGCTTAGCTGATTTCATATTAACTTAACTTCATCTTAGCTCAGGTTTATCTTAGCTTAGTTTACCTTCATCTTAGCATCGCTGAGCTTTAGCATAGCAGAGCACAGCATAGCATAGCGTAGCATAGCATAGCGCAGCATATCATATCATAGCATAGCCCAGCGTAGCATAGCATAACGTAGCATAGCATAGCATAACATAGCATAGCATAACATAGCATAGCATAGCATAGCGCAGCACAGCACAGCATAGCGCAGCGCAGCGCAGCATAGCATGGCATGGCGTAGCATAGCATAGCAACTAATGCTGCTTTCCTAGGGACTCCAACTTCTAGGTAGGGTCGCACTTGGGTAATGAAAGAGAGAGAGAGAGAGTGTGAGAGAGAGAGCGAGAGAGAGAGAGAGAGAGATAGAGAGAGAGGGAGGGAGAGAAGCAGCGAGGACACATACATGAGGGCAAGACAATGATGATGTAGGAGGGGAGGAGGATGAGGAAGATAATGATAGGAATCAGGATAATGGGGAGGAGACGGAGAATGAGTAGGCGAATGAAGAGAATGAGGAAACAGATAATGATAAATATTGATGGGAATGATGAGGATGAGGCAAATGAGGAGGAGACAGATAATGAGGAATAATGTGGAGAATGGGGAGGAGGATGAGGATGAAGAGAACGAGGAGAACGGGGAGAAGGACGAGGAGGCGAGTGAAGAGGAAGAGAGCACGAGAGGAGGCGAAAGGTATGGTGACAGGGGGGGGCGAGCACATTCTTATATGCACATATGGGCGATCCCGGGCCCCAGCCCCGGACCAGGACGTCCCTTGGCTCTCCCCACCCACGGCTCTCCCGGGACGCCAGGGCCGCCAAAGATAGACCCCACACGGCCCAAGAGGCTCCAAGACCCCCCAACTGAGCCTCCAAAGCGCTGTGTGACGCTCCAGCATGGCTCCAAGACTGCCCAGAGACCCTCAACATGGCCCACGAGGACTCCTCCGTAGCCGTTTCGGATCACTTTCTTGTGTAACTGTTCTAAGCTCTGGTAATTGTTTGGGCGAAGCACCCTGTGCTGCACTACAGAATCCTCACTCGAGGCCCCGCAGTGATGGCGAGACTCGCGGGCGACAATCTCCCGGCCGTCATCGAGCAGCGACCAAGGCCAGCATTAGCGTGGGCGGCTGCATCCAGCGCGGCGCCCGCACCGAGGCAGCTCTGGACTCCCAGGATGGCCCGGGGGCGCCCGCACGGAGGGGATCGCTGCGGGGTTGTCCTCGGCCCCGACAGGATCCGCAGGCCTTCTGGCCTCCACCTTCCGGAGATTTCGGTTTCTCCGACCCTCACAGACCTTCCCTATATGAGGAGGCCCGAATCTCTCCTGGGCATCTGCAGGTCGCGCCGGCTCGTGGTCGGAGTCTTCACGGCGCCGGAGTTGTTGTCGGGAGTGGAGCTGACCAGCAGCGGGGCAGTGGGCAACCAGACGAGCGACCCCGAGTCCACATCCGTCCTCTCCGTGGAGCCCCCGATGCCTTCCGAGGCCTGCGACGGGCTCCGTCGGACCAGCGCGATGGCCGGCCAGGACGAGCGGCCCCCTGCCGATAATCTTGGCGCAGCCGTCACGACGGCGGGCCGTGCCGTCCAGAGCCCCGCCGCCAGGTGCCCCGAACTCGCTGGCCGTGGTCTGCGGGCCCCAGCCAGGCCGGCGGCGAGCCCGGCAGGCCCACGCGCGCCCTTTGGAGAAGCGGCGCCGGCCCCCGTCCCGCCCCCGCCTCGCCGGGAGGGCGCCGTCGGCGAGGGGGGCAGGCGCCCGCGCTCTGCGGGCAGCTAGGGCACAGCTGCGGGAGCAGCGGGGCGGCGGTCGTGAGTCTCGAGCAGAGGAGTCCCCGCTCGGGCCCGAGAGGAGGAGGTCTGGGAGGAGGAGGCTCGGGCCGGACGAAAGGGGGGATTGGGAAAAGGGGGGGGGACGAAATTCTAGACGCTTCGCGTATCCCCACCAGCCCGTCCATAAATGAGTCCCAGGGGAGTGGAGGTTATGAGGGAAGCGGGGGAGCATGCAGAAGAACAAAGGGCGGGGTGAGCCGCCATATACCCCAAGAGGGGGAGGATGTAGGAGGAGCCGTCGTCGTCGGAGTAGGAGGAGGAAGAGGAGGAGCAGGAGGAGGAGCAGGAGGAGGAGGAGGAGGAATAGAAGGAGGAGGAGATGGAGGACTGCGAGGACGAGGAGGACGAGAAGGAGGAAAAGGAAGGAGGAGGAGGAGGAGGAGGAGGAGGAGGAGGAGGAGGAGGGGGAGGGGGAGGAGGGAGGAGGAAGAAAAAGAAGGAGGAGGAGGAGGAGGAGGAGGAGGACAATTGCGAGCTTGGGGGCCTCTTGGGCCGTCCTTGGGGCCTCTTGGCGGTCCCGGGGGCCTCTTGCGTATCTCGGGGAGCCTCTTGTGGCCTCTTGGGGGTCTCTTGGGGGCCTCTTGGAGGCCTCTTGGGGGCCTCTTGGGGCCTCTTGGGGCCCTCTTGGGGCGCTCTTGGGGCGCTCTTGGGAGCCTTCGAGGCGCTCTTGGGGCCATCTTGGAGGAGATCTATCAAAGAAGGGGGGGTCCCCAATTAGCGCTGCCCTCTAGAGTGCCTCGAGTCGCCTCTTGGGCCCCCCCAAGAGGCCAAAATCCTTCCAAAACCTATGTAAAATCAATGTTTTTTGTTTTCTCGCCTTTTCGCTCTTGGACCCGTCTTGGGAGCCTCTTGGGCCTCTTGGGGGTCTCTTGGGAGCCTTTTGGAGGCCTCTTGGGCGCCTCTTGGGGCCTCTTGGGGCGCTCTCGGGGCGCTCTTGGGGCGCTCTTGGGAGCCTTCGGGGCGCTCTTGGGGCCATCTTGCAGGAGATCGATCACAGAAGAGGGGGTCCCCAATCGACTTTTGCCCCTCTAGAGTGCCTCGAGTCGCCTCTTGGGCGCCCCAAGAGGCCAAAATCCTTCCAAAACCTAGGTAAAATCAATGTTTGTTGCTTTCTCGCCTTTTCGCTCTTGGAGCCGTCTTGGGTCATCTTGGACTCTCTTGGGGCCTCTTGGGGGTCTCTTGGCAACGTCTTGGAGGCTTCTTGGGGGCCTCTTGGGGTCTCTTGGGGCCCTCTTGAGGCGCTCTTGGGGCGCTCTTGGGAGCCTTCGGGGCGCTCTTTGGGCCATCTTGGAGGAGATCTATCAAAGAAGGGGGGGTTGCTTATTAGCCCCGCCCCTCCAGAGTGCCTCGAGTCGCCTCCTGGGCCCTCCCAAGATGCCAAAATCCTTCCAAAACCTAGGTAAAATCAATGTTTTGTGTTTTCTCGCCTGTTCGCTCTTGGAGCTGTCTTGGGCCATCTTGGACGCTCTGACACCTCGCGACCGGCCCCGTCCAGGTCAGTGGGGAGGGGTAAGGGGAGGGGTAAACCCCTCCCCGAAGGGGAAGAAGGGGGTTGGCAGAGGAAACTCCCTAGACCACCTACGCCCTAAAGGGCTGGTGGGATTCTAGACGCTTCGCGTATCCCCGCCAGCCTATACGGCGGTTAGCTGCACCCCCCACACGTGTATACGCTTTCGGCGTGCAGCTGCCATCCAGTTACGTATCTTTTGCGATGGTTAGCTGCACCCCCTTTCTCCCCGCCAAGTCGCACTCTGCGGGCTGCAGGAGCCCTCCCACAGCCGGTCGACACTGTGACTTCGGAAGGACGGCGGTGTCCACCAGGGTGAGGGTGACTGTGACGGGTTGCCTTGCCAGAGTGATGCATCTCTCGCGTTTCTCAGCGCACCTTCCCTTTTTCACCGGTACCGACTCGTCCGTCGGCCGCCGCCAGCCCCAACAGCTCTGAAGTGGCGTCCGTTGGCTGCGCGCTGAGTGGTCCAGCCTTCAGCGCCGACGGCCCGTTTTCCACCACCAGCAGCCGTTTCCCCGGGCTAGTGCCAGTTGTTTGTCTGGGGTGATGCTCGGAGCTTGGCGCCGCAAGGGCGACGTTGCGTAGCACCCGCACCACTGTGCGCTCGCTCTTTTGGACCGGGCGGCGCCTAGGTGCGTCACTGCGAATGTGGAGCATTTTGCTCAGTGCACGTGCACCGCACCTTGTGTGCAATTAGCCTGTTGATCGCCGTCCCGGACACGCTTGCCGCCGCCAGACCGTAGTCGAGCGGCCGCCGAGCAAAACAAATATCCCCGCCAGCTTAGAGCCTCGTTCGTGGCCCGGACGTTGCCTTTGCCGCCTGACCCTTGTCTCGCGGCCGCGACCAACAAAAAAATATTCCCGCCGGCCCATCCAGAACTTATGTCCAGGCGAGTTGAGGTGATCAGGGAAGTGCGGCAGCAAAGAGGAGGACTGCCGAACCGTGCAAAGGAGTGAGGAGGAGAAGGAGGAGGTGGATGGATGGATGGTGGATGGATGGATGGATGAGGGAGTGGGAAGAAGGAGGATGAATAGGATGAGGAGGAGGAGGCGGAAGAGGAGGAGGAGGAGGAGGATGAGGAGGAGGAGGAGGAAGAGAAGGAGTAGGAGCAGGAAGGAGGAACAGGAGGAGGAGGAGGAGGAGGAGGAGGAGGAGGAGGGTAAGCACAAAGGCCAGAGGTCTCTTGGATGCCTTTCGGAGCCTCTTGGGGTATATCTTGGGCGATTCTTGGTGGCCTCTTGGGACGTCTTGGGGGTCTGTTGGCGATCCTGGGGGGCTTTTCGGTGTCTTGAGTGCCTCGGGGGGGGCCTCTTGGGGCCGCTTAGGGTCTTTTGGGGGGCCTCCTGGGGGCCTCTTGGGACCTCTTGGGGCCTCCTGGGCGCTTCTTGGGGCCATCTTGGAGGAGATCGGTCAACAAAGGGGGTTCGTTAATTACGCCCCCCCCAGGAGGCCAAAATGGGGCCCAAACCGTAGTAAGATCAATGATTTTGGTTTCCTCGCCGAGGCCGTTTTGGACGCTCTAACTACCCGCGGCCCCCCCCCCCTCCAGGTCCACAGGGAGGGGGTAGGGGGAGGGGTAAATCCTTCCCCGGAGGGGGAGAGGGAGGGGTGGAAGAGGAAACGCCCTAAACCACCGACGTCCAGAGGGCTGGTGGGATTTGCTGCATGCAGCTGGTTTCGGCCCCACCGAGGGGCCCATTCCTCGATATGTAGCCGCCTCCGGCGCAGGGAGGCGCCGGGAAAATCAGCTACGCGAGCTGATTCTCACCCCCCCCCCTTTGCTATCCCCCCCTTTCGCCCGACCCGAGAGGCGGTGGAAGAGGATCGGGTATAGTGGAGGGGGTCAGTGTCCACGCGGCCCCTGGCGTTGCGCGCAGGGTCAGCCACGCCCGCATCGTGCCTGGTCCTGCCAGCCTGGCAGTCCTGCAGCGCTACTTCGGCGGCCCGCAGGAGGGGGCCGAGGCAGGGGTGGACGGCTTCAACATGATCGACCCACGAACTCGGAAAGGAATATAGAAATGGAAGGCATGGTAACGTTTCAAAGACACCTGAGTGGGCGACGGGCAAATGCAATGCTAAATGTATCGATCTTGATGTACTGTGCCGGGAGCTGTGCTGTGCTTCGCCGTGCTGAACTGCGATGTGCCATGCCGCGATTGTGCTCTATATTTATACATATATATATATAGATATAAAGCGTTGTGGATCGAGTCCTCGTTGCCACCGAGTCCTGACCGAACTGATCAGGATCTCAAGCTCGAGTTGCCTGAGCAGATGGTGGCTGCCCCAGAGCTAATCGACAGACGTGAAATGCCAGGAGGACGCGCCGCGGAACGTCCCAAGGGACGCGCCAGGCGACGTGCCAGGGGACGTGCCATGGGCAGGCACCGCGGGACGTGCGAAGGGGACGCGCTACGGAACGTGCCCATGGACGTGCCGCGGAACGTGCCAGGTGACGCGCCGCGCGACGTGCCAGGTGGACTCGCCACAGAACGCGCCACGGAACGTGCGGTCGGCTCTGCAAAACCAGCGTTTTCGCTCGAGACATCCTCAACAAATTCTGAAAACAACGTTTCGCTCGAGACATCCCCAACTCTGCAAAACCAGCGTTTCGCTCGAGACATCCTCAACAAATTCTGAAAAACAAGCGTTTCGCCTGAGACATCCTCAAAAATAATTCCGCCGGCCCTACTCCCGCACGTAATTTATCGCAGAATAATTTCGCCGGCCCTACAGCCGTCGAAACCGGGGGGAACCTACTAAAAGAGAACCCTGGGCTCGAGCCCTTTCCGGCAAAAAGCGAATTGGGGGGGAAGGGTGGGCAAACAGAAACTTCGGAGCTCCGCGCAGATGTTCTACATCTACGCTGAAATCCCTGGCCGCGCGGAGCGCGCCATGGGCGGCGCTGGAAGCGCCGCTGTGTGACGCCCCAGCATGTCTCCAAGACTGCCCAGAGAGCCTCAAGGTGGCCCACGAGGACTTCTCCGTAGCTGTTTTGGGTAATTTTGTTGTGTTACTTTTTAAGCTCTGGTAGTTGTTTGGGCGAAGCACCCTGGGCTGCACTATAGAATCCTCACTCGAGGTCCCGCAGTGATGGCGAGCCTCGCGGGCGACAATCTCCCGGCCGTCATCGATTAGCTACCAAGGCCAGCATTAGCGTGGGCGACTGCATCCAGCGCGGCGCCCACACCGAGGCAGCCCTGGACTCCCAGGATGGCCCGGGGGCGCCCGCACGGAGGGGATCGCTGCGGGGTTGTCCTCGGCCCCGACAGGATCCGCAGGCCTTCTGGCCTCCACCTTCCGGAGATTTCGGTTTCTCCGACCCTCACAGACCTTCCCTATATGAGGAGGCCCGAATCTCTCCTGGGCATCTGCAGGTCGCGCCGGCTCGTGGCCGGAGTCTTCACGGCGCCGGAGTTGTTGTCGGGAGTGGAGCTGGCCAGCAGCGGCGCTTCACTCCCTGGCCGCGCGGAGCGCGCGCGCCGTGGGCGGCGCCAGAGGCGCCGCTATAGGGGGCCCCAGCGCCGACCGGTGACTCTGCAGTCATGGACAACGGAGCTGACACCGAATTCGCGGCGACCTGATGCAGCTGGTTTCAAGTTTCAAGATGCAGTGGGTGACGCCTCCACATGGCGACTCGAAGTGCGCCATGTTTTTCTCAACATTTTTTAATGCCTGCGTGCATGCCCATGCGCTGCCACAGCCTACGGCATGAGCGAGCGAGCGGCAGCCTGATCGCGGAGCAGACTCTTCAGCGCGTTCCTCGTGTGTCGCTGGCTGCTCCCTGCACCTTCGTGTGTCGCTGGCTGTTCCCTGCACCCTTCCTGCGCAGGCTTCCCGTTGATTTATAATCGGCGCTGCCATCTCCTCCCACGCGTCTCCTTCCCCCTCCTCCTCCCTCCGCCTCCGCCTCCTCCTCATCCTCCTCCTCCTCCTCCTGCCTGGCACACCCTCTTGCACTCTGCCTGGCCATCTCCCCGTTCTCCCATGCAGGGATGGGTCTCGATGACCCTTCTGCAGTGCCTGCCCGCTCTCTCCAGCGGGACTCGCGCGGGTTGTCGGGAGCGCCTGGTGACCCTTCTGTAGTGGCCGCCCGCTCTCCGTGCGTTGTGCACAGCCCTCTTTTTGCAGCCGAGCTTGCCAGATTGAGAAGACCCCGTCGCTTCAAGGCGCCACAGGTGCACCATCCGTCCATCCATCCATCCATCCATCCATCCATTTGACCCTCAGCGTGCTGCGACCCTCTGCTTCCCGCCGGCAATCGCTCATCACAGCCAAACCTCGGCGACGGACTTGGCGCCTAGAGGACACCATTTGCATGCATGAGCAGTCGCCCCGCAACACTATACTTTGGCCCGACACTGGGCTATGAAACAGATGGCCCAAGATGTTTCCGAGAGGCTCCTCCAAGACGGCTCCAGAAGCCAAAATAGTCCTACTCCCGATGAGACTTTTATATGTTCTGCATATTCGATTTGTCGGGCTCACGAGAGCCCACAACGGCCTCCGAGATACTGCAGGACAGCCCCAGACACCCCAGAAGTGTTCCACGCCGGTCCCAGAGAGCTCCAAGACAGCCCAGGAGTCGCCCAAGACCGTCCCAGGAAAGCCCGAGATGGCCACAAGAGCCCCTACATTTATGGCATATTCGCTTTTTCAGGCTCGCGAGTTGTCTATCCAGAACGACCCCAGAGGTCCCCGAGATGGCCCCAAGACAGCCCCAGAGACCCCAAAAGCGTTCCACATCGGTCCCAGAGAGCCCCAAGGCAGCCCGAGAAACGGCCCACACCGCCCCAGAGAGGCCCACGAGTGCCACAAGATGGCCCCCCAACTGCCTCCAAGGCCTCCAAGACGATCCAAGAGAGCCGCATGAGCCCTCTGGGACGCCCAAACATGGCCTCACGACGGCCCCACAGACCCCCAAGAATCCCAAAGAGAGCTCCAAGAAGCATCCCCAAGAGAGCACCAGAGGCAAAGGTCGTTCAATCTACATTTGAGCATTTTTCGCGGCCGCGACGGCCCCGGAGGCCCTTGAGATGGCTGCGAGACAACCCCAGAGACCCCAAACGTGTTCCGCAACGGTCACAGCGAGCTACAAGACAACCCAGGAACCGCCAAAGACCGCCTCCGAAAGACCCACGAGAGCCACAGGGCAGCCCCCAAACGGCCTCGGGTGCCCCAGGATAGCTCCAAGAGGCACCCCCCAGTGGGCCCCCAGAAGCCACGATCGCCCCCTTCCCGTGAGGTAAGCTGTGTATGTTTGGCGCATTCGCCCTTTTACTTGGCATCGCTCGGACGTGTGCATTTTTTCTCGGCGAGGACCATCGAGAACCATCCTGGACCATCGAGCAAAAAAAACACGCACGAAACCGAAAAATGCACGGGAAATGGACGTCCGAGCGACGGCAAGTTTAGGTCTCAAGAGTGCCCACGGCGGTTCCAGAGAACCTCGAGATGGCCCTGAGACAGCCCCAGAGACCCCAAAAGCGCTCCACGACGGTCCGAGAGAGCCCCAGGATAGCCCAGGAAGCTCCAGAAGAGCCACCGAAGGGCCCCAAGAGAGCCCCAAGAGAGCTCCAGGAGCGGCTGCCCGGCGCTCTCTTCGGGAGGGAGGCTCCCGCCATGCCCTCAATACCCTGCCGTAAGCCTCCCAGACGCTCCCAAGAAGCCTCCAGACGCCCCCGAGATGCCCTCCGGAGGGCAAAGCCATCCCAAAATGGCCCCGCCTTCCGCGAAGACGCCAGAGTCCGCAAGAGGCCCAGCTCGATCCAGCTCGAGGGAGGATTTCGCGGAAAGGCAGGGGCCAGGAATGTTGGTCGTGGTCTCTGAAATACCTTACAAGGCCGCTGAATGTGAGAGGGTGGATGAGGTGGAGGAGGATGAGAAATGAACCAAGAGGAGGGGGAGGAGAACTATACAAGGTCGAGTGAGGCGGGAATAGCGACGGGATGGGAATGGAGGTAAGGATGAGGAGGAGGAGGAGGACCAGTGTAAACCCAAGGGCCATCAACGATGTTGAAATGCACGCTCCCTCCAAGCTCTCTCTTTACAGGCCCCTACAACGGTTCATTTCCATTGAGGGAACTGTTTCGTTGGAAGACAACCGTGTGAAGACCCTGAAGCATGCCAAAACATTGTTCTCAGGATTCCAACGCCACGGATCGACCTGACTGTTGCGTCTTGGCGGTCCTGGATCGTGCCAGAACGCCATTCTTGGGAATTCAGCACCGCGAATCAACGTAATTGTTTTACCCGCAAAGTCCTGAACCCTTCCAGAACAATACGTTAATCATCGGAATTCGTGAAGCTCCTGCAAATGTTATAAGCCAATGTTCGCGGCGCTAAGGCGAGAGCCACAGTTTGAAAAGGAACCGCCCTCAACCCGTGAAACTCTTTGCACATGTGTAAAACCAATGTGCGCGGCGCGCTACGAGGAGAGCCACATTTTGAAAACGGTTTTTTTTCTCAATCCGCGAAACTCTTGCAATTTTTTAGAACGCATGCGCGCGGCGCTAAGGCGAGAGCCACATTTTGAAAACGGGCCGCCCTCCATCTGTGAAGCTGTTGCCAATTTTGGCGTTTCAGAGTCATAAATGGTGAGGAAGTCTCAGGCGACACGCCCGGCCAGCTCTAAAAACTGGCCTCGGGGTGCGACAGGGAGAAGTTATGTGTAAGGAAAAGAACTGGAGGAGGAGGAGGAGGAGGAGGAGGAGGAGGAGGAGGAGGGCGACGATGACCAGAGGAACAGACGGAGGACGGACACACCCGAACAATAGGAAGGGCGAGTAGCAAAGGAAGCAGCAGGGGAAGGAGGAGAGGAAAGACGGCTAAGGAATGAGGAGGGCAGGAGAACCGAGGGCGAAGGTGCAGACAGTGAGAAGGACGAGACCATCGCAAGTGCACGCCGTGTGAGCGCTGGATGGCTCGGGGATGGACAGACCCCCCCACCCTGGCACGTCGATAAAGGAATTGGCCGTTTTCGGTTCGCGAGAGGGCGCCGAAGCCGTCATTTTTGCGGGCCCAGGTCCGTCGGTTCCGGTCCCAGGCCGTTCTCATTAAGGGGAGGTCTACTGAAGGGAGGTTTGTCCACCGCCGAATGGCAGGCTCGACCAGCCCCTCGACAGATCGAAGCTGCTCGAGATACAGACCTTTGTTTCAGTCTCATGACGCCGAGCCCGCACACGAAATTTCCAGGAATAGACACTCGAACCTCATCGCGCTCGAAGCGCATATGTATTCACATGTACATGTATGTGTCTTTCAAGGTACGCAAATCTGTTCTCGATCAAACAATACTTTTCTGGCCGCGCCGCGTGGGATATCCCCCTTCAAGCTAAGTGAAGCTTCACTTGGCTGGTCGGCTGGTTGGCTCACTGGTTACCGGACCAACGCAATTCGTTCTGGAGCGGTTTTCTGGTTGGTTGTCGGTTGGGTGGGCGCTGGGGCGGTTCGTTGATTGATTGGCTGGTATGCCAGTTCTTCTGATTGCCCAGTGGGAATGTTGGGCGCTGGTTGGTTGGTCGGGCGCTGGTTGTGAGTCTGGTTGGTTGGTTAGCTAGTATATCTGAGCACAGACAGATACATACACCTATATGTACACGTGTGCACTGTGCATATCTATATATACATATATATATATATACATGTGTATATATAATATATATTATAAGTATATGCTCGCGAAACCCAGCGTGCTTCTGCCATGTTTCCCTGCCTGCGGGGCCCCAGGGCAGTCAAAGGCCGGGCCCGCCTCTCTTCCCTCCCCCCTGAGACCTGCCGCCTCCTCCAGGCCTGCGCCCTTCCCTTCTCCGGACTCCGATGGCTCTCCTTCCCCCCGAGGTCCGCCTCCTCCTCCTCCTCCTCCTCCTCCTCCTCCTCCTCCTCCTCCCCTCCTCTCGAGGAGCAAGTGGGAGAACGTGAGCACCAGCTTGCGGAGGTTCGCACGGACCTCTTGGATAGGCGTTGGGACCCCCCTCTCCTGGCGGCGCGCTGACACCGCCGATGGGGCCCAGCCCCGACCCAAGAAATCCGCCTGGACTTCCGAATGCTTTTGTAATGCAGGGAGGAGGCGAGAGGGAGGGGGAGGGGAGGAGGAGGAGGAGGAGGAGGAGGAGGAGGAGGAGGAGGAGGAGGAGGAGGAGGAGGAGAAGGAGGAGGGGGGCGGGGGCGGGAGCGGGGGCGGGAGCGGGGGCGGGGGCGGGGGGCGAGAGCTGACGAAGGGAGAAGAGGCGACGTCACCGCCAGGAGGGGGAGGCACCTCCAGCGAGGGGGTCCACCACCAGGGGGATGTCTCGAGCGAGGCGGGGGGACCACCACCGCCAGGGGTGCCCTCCCTGGCGCCTCGCGCTGGTGGTGATAGTGTCGCCTCTACTTGTTCCTGGATGGGGGGGAGGGGGGGGACAGGACCTCGGGCTCGGGGTGTCGTGAGGCTGCTCGGGGGGGCCAGAGCCCAGCCTGGGGGCGGGGCTTCCGCGGCCCCTGAGCGGTGCGGCCGCACGTTGGCGCGTCCGGCAGCACCTCGCTCGCGAGCACAAGAGGAGGAGCTCGCGAGCACTCGTTCGCGAGCGCGTCCCGCAGCACTCGTTCGCAGCGCTTGCTCGCGAGCGCTCGTCCAGCGTGGAGGTCTTGCAAAGACAGACCTCCAGTGGCCCCCTCCGAAAGAGCCCTGGAGGCTCGGGAGCACCGGGCGCGCGGCAGGGAGGGGGCAGGCGAGGGGCATGTGGCCTTGCTTGAGTCGCTGGCGACAGCTTCGCCCAACTCGCACTGCAAACAGCTGGAATGAACAGGTACTGGATGCAGCGCCTCTGCGCCCATAGGTACAGTCAAAGCGCATAGTGAGGATGAGCCATTTCCCAGGGTTAGCCTCGTATCCTTGACCCTTCGGTCCATCCTAGACAATTTGCGCTGGCCAACCCCGTTTGAAAACGTCAGCATGGCCTTCAAGGCCCCTGCATTACCGCGCATCCTTCTCGTGCGTTTTGACGGTAATCGCGTTCATGTGGTGAGGGCTTTCATGCAAGGGAAGATGCGGGCAATGATTATATCCATATCCAGTGTTTCTTGGAACTCCTTGGAAGAGGCGTCACAGGGCCGAGGCGCACTGGATATGAATAAAAGTCGAGCCTCTGGCGGGCAAATGTATCCATAGCCAGTGCGCCTCGATTTTCTGGGGAAGGTTGCCCGCAACTCCATACTGCAATGGATGTGGACGGAGGTACAGTGGGGGCCCGACCACAGGAAATCTTCCACGAGAAACCCAGCCCTGTGACCCCGGGACGTCCAGTGACTCTTTGGTGTGGGAACG